TTCGCCTCATCCCCCCCGCGTCCTCTGGCTTCACGTCGCTTCACGGCAGCATCTGCCCGCCCTTACCCTCACGCTGGCACCCACCGCCCCGGCCCTGCCGTAACCCTTTCGCCCCAAGTATTCCCTTCCTCCCATCTGCCCCCGGGGATTTGCTCGTGGCCCCCCCATAGCTCGGCCGGTTCAGGGGGTGCAGCCCGAGTGGCGAAAGAGCCACGGGACCACCCACACCCGCCGCCCTCCCTGCTCCTTCGGGTACTGATGTCCCATCGTTTCTCACCCGCATCTCCTCCCGGTGTGGCGGACAGGGCGTTCCTCATCCTCACAGTGCCGGGGTAAGCCATAAACCCAGAATTTGGCACAAACGCACCTCACACCGCCCCTTTTTTCAGGCATGATGCCCTCCAAGGCCAGCTTCTCCATGCACAGCATCCTGGTCAACCACTTCCTCCAAGGTGCCTGGTACCCCAAAGGGGGACCCGCAGAAATCGCCTTCCACACCATTCCTGTTATCCGGAAAGCCGGAGGCAACGTTTTGGGAAGGGCGCTGGTGGAGAAGATCCTGCTGGACTCACAGGGCAAAGCCTGCGGTGAGCGCTGGCAAGGGGTGGGGCACACGCGGCTTCTTCCTGCCACGGCATTGCCTTTAACTGGCCCCGTTCCTTCCCTCCTTGCCTTTCCCTTCCAGGTGTGAGCGTCAAGAAAGGCCAAGAGGTGGTGAACATCTTCGCTCCCCTTATCATTTCGGATGCTGGGATCTTCAACACCTACGAACGGCTCCTGCCGGCGGAGGCCCGGGCATTGCCTGGTAAAACACGGAGGCGCTGGCTTTTGTTGGGGCTATGGCATTTGTCCACCTCTGAGCCATGCCAAAAAGCAGCTCCTTCATAATCCCCATCATTCCCATGACAGTGTTCAAAACACCAGCCCTGGCATTGCTTTGCAGGGTTTTTAATCCAGCCTAAATTAATTTGCCCAAACTGGTCATAGATTGGGCAACGCCCTGGCTCCCCACGCCCTTTCCCTATAAACCCCAGTGCCGTGCCCCAAAACGCGTGAAAGTCGGTGAAATGTCCACGGCAAGTTGGCTTGGTGCTGCCGGAAAAGCTTCTTGGTGCTTTGGAAGGGGCATGGTTGCGGGGAAGGGGCATGGTTGGGGGGCAGGGACATGGTTGGGGGGA